AAGAGTCCAATACTAACAATTTTACGGGAAAACATGGATTTTCAATATGATCTCCACCAGAATACATAAAAATTACTGTAAGTAACTTTTAGTGTATTCCACTGTTCAACCTTTTGCTGCATAGCTGATGTTGTGTCATGCTTCAGTAGCACATTAAGAAAAATAGTTGAATGCCTCATAATTCAAAAACTGATATCCTCAGATTATAATTTTATTAGAATTTTATCAAGTAGGATGGAATTTCAGTAGTTCTGTATATTGATTATAAGGTCTTTGTAAAACAGAAAACACTTGGCAAATAAAAATAAAATTTCAAAATTTTGAAGTATACTGCAGTTTAGAATCTCATGTGCTTATTCTAAAATATGGTTTAAAAAAAAAAAAAAATGGCTTGGGGTTGTTACTGTATGCATTGCTCCAAGACCATGCTTGTGATATATGCCAGAATTGGTTTCTGTTTCCCTGCTTCTGGGAAGAAAAAAAATTATGTTCAACTATTTGCATCCGTTTAAAATTTTTTAATCCGGAACGCTAACTTGCATTGTTGAAAGCCATATGTGGTTATATGGATGGCTGAATGCCATTTTATAGAATCTACGAAATCTGTCCTTTTTTGATATGTCCAGACATCGGGAAATGTAGATACAGTCACTTCAATGATGTTCATTATGCTCAGATTGAGGAATCGCGTACAAATGAAGAATCAGCAGTGCCATCTATTGGACAGAAAAATAAGTCATTCTGTGTTACACAACTGCCTCCAGAACAAACGTTTTACTTTCTCTTCTGCCGACATTTTCCTGTTTAAAGTATAACCGATTATTTTTACTCTTCACGTATTTATGGTAAGCTAATATGTTAAATATGATATCGGTTAGAAGTAATAAATAGAAATATGATATCTAATGTACCAGTTAGGTATTAGTTAACTTGACCAGCCATTTCCTTCAGTATTGTTTTAGCATAAATGCCATTTCTAATAGCTGGCTTCATAAATCTGGCACTGTCACAATGCTGGTCATCTACTAGAATTACCACTAAAGGAAAGCATATACTCTGAAATTTACTGCTTTGTGCTAACTAACTAATTAACAGCCTCCATAATATTTGTCTTAAATTGTTTATTTTAAGTGCAAACTTTATACTGTTCAGCTAGTTTGGTCTGGGGGAAGAAGGGAAAGCGTGGATTTTCTTTGTCTGTACTAAAAACTGCAGGAAATTGTGGTATCCATTGGACTGACAGTCTGGCAAAATATTTCTCCTGGGGTTTATAATTCGTATCATGCTGCACATTTCTTAGAATCCGATCTGGACTCAAGATAGTAAATCAGCAAAGCTTGATGTTACATGATTTTCTAATTCTTGAATTCTTCAGAGGAATCTCTGGACAGTATTTACATCAAGAAAACTACATTCATGTAGGCAGCTATAGGTATTATTACAGAATCTGGAGATGTGCTTTGTGATATGCATGAAGATTTCCAAGATTTGTGAGTAGATTTAGAACAGGAAGCTAGGCTGGGAAATCATTGCTTATAGGCAGTGCCCAGTGAGGAGAAAATGTATTTCTCCTTTGACTTAAATCAATGTTGCATCTATTCCAAACTGAAACTCATTCTGATCTAATGATTCAAAATATATCTTTAGTCCTCTATGCGTGGATAGTGCTCACCTGTAGTGAGTCTCTCACCTTCTTAAGGAGAGATTTTCAATGTCCACAGGAGGTTGTATTATTTTTTTAGAAGAGTTTGGCTGTCAAGGAATAGATTAAAAGATTGTCTGATTTTCTTATGTTTCAGATCTTCTTATTATCATTAAGAAGTAATGATTATTGCCGTTAGGTATTAATATTATTAGGTAGCAACCTTTCCTATTAGCAAATGGAAAATGTAGTCATAATTTTCTCTTTCAAGACTATCAGTGGAACCTAATTCACATAAACAGATGCAAATTAAAGAGTCACGATTCCCTGTGATAATATATTTACATGAACACGTGTTAATTTATGATAATTGATATGAAAAAAATCGTATGTGAATGCTAAATTTAAAAACAGATGCAGGTAATAATCCATAATACAGCTTTTGTCTTTTTCATTGTTTAACATAAGTTTGTAATCTGGAAGGAGGAGATCAACAATGGAATTCCACTAGCTGTATTGAATAAAGGTAATATGTTTTAACACTGACCCCTAGTGACAAAATTATATTTTTGAGCTACAGCTCTGCCGAGAAAAGGGGAGTTTTGTGATTTGTGTTTTTATTTTTCACATTAGCGCCTGTTCTGCTGAGCTCTGTACAAATACAACCAGTTAACTTGTGCCATGAATAAATTCCTGTTTTGACTTTCTCTTGCTGTATATCTGTAGTGTGATGAGGACTTTCAAAACAGAAAAGACAGAATGGTTATTACCTGTACAAGCTTTTCTGTACAAGTTACATATTGCTTTGATTGAAAACTGCAGAATGTTTTATGGTAGATTTCCTCCTTGTCAAAATGCTGAATCAAAGCCTAATGCTGTGATGTCATGCAGAAATGGGTTTGCAGTATGACATCACGTCATTTGACTGGTACACAACTCATGGATTGTACCCTAAATCATCTTCCACTGACAGGTGGAAAATGTTTCATACAACCACCTGCTGTTCTTTCTTAGACATGTGAATGTGTGGATATGGAATCTACAGACCCAGACACTGTAGCTGCATTTTTGTACAACTCTTCCCCAACCCT